ACAACAATCCAAACGCTTTGGGATGCAGCGAAGGCAGTCCTGAGAGGAAAATACATCCAGGCCTATCTCAAGAGACAAGAAAAATCCCGAATACAAAATCTAACAGCACACCTAAAGGAAATAGAAGCAGAACAGCAAAGACACCCCAAACCCAGCAGAAGAAGAGAAATAAAGATCAAAGCAGAAATAAACAATATAGATTCTAAAAAAACTGTAGAGCAGATCAATGAAATCAAAAGTTGTTTTTTTGAAAAAAATAAACATAATTGATAAACCTCTAGCCAGGTTTTTTTTAACCTTCTCAAAAAGAAAAGGGAGATGAGCCAAATAGATAAAATCATGAATGAAAATGGAATTACAACCAATCCGTCAGAAATACAAGCAATTATCAGGGAATACTATGAAAAATTATATGCCAACAAACTGGACAACCTGGAAGAAATGGACAAATTGCTAAGCACCCAGACACTTCCAAAACTCAAACAGGAAGAAATACAAAATTTGGACAGACCCATAATCAGTGAAGAAATTGAATCAGTTATCAAAAATCTCCCAACAAATAAGAGTCCAGGACCAGATGGCTTCCCTAGGGAATTCTACCAGACATTTAAAGCAGAGATAATACCTATCCTTCTCAAGCTGCTCCAAAAAAATAGAAAGGGAAGGAAAACTTCCAGACTCATTCTATGAAGCCAGTATTACTTTGATGCCTAAACCAGACAGAGACCCAGCAAAAAAAGAGAACTACAGGCTAATATCCCTGATGAATATGGATGCAAACATTCTCAACAAGATACTAGCAAATCGAATTCAACAGCATATAAAAAGAATTATACATCATGATCAAGAGGGATTCATTCCTGGGTTGCAGGGCTGGTTCAACATTTGCAAATCAATCAATGTTGATACATCACATTAATAAAAGAAAAGAACCATATGATCCTGTCAATCGATGCAGAAAAAGCATTTGACAAAATTCAGTGTCCTTTCTTAATAAATACCTTCGAGAAAGTCGGGATAGAAGGAACATACTTAAACATCATAAAAGCCATTTATGAAAAGCCCACAGCTAATGTCATCCTCAATGGGGAAAAACTGAGAGCTTTCCCTGAGATCAGGAACATGACAGGGATGTCCACTCTCACCGCTGTTGTTTAACATAGTGTTGGAAGTGTTAGCATCAGCAATCCAACAACAAAAGGAAATCAAAGGCATCAAAATTGGCAAAGATGAAGTCAATCTTTCACTTTTTGAAGATGACATGATATTATACGTGGAAAACCAAATAGACTCCACCAAAAGTCTGCTGGAACTGATACATGAATTCAGCAAAGTCACAGAATACAAAATCAATGTACAGAAATCAGTTGCATTCTTATACACTAATAATGAAGCAACTGAAAGACAAATAAAGAAACTGATCCTATTCACAATTGCATCAAGAAGCATAAAATACCTAGGAATAAACCTAACCAAAGATGTAAAAGATCTGTATTCTGAAAACTATAGAAAGCTTATGAAGGAAATTGAAGAAGATATAAAGAAATGGAAAAACATTCTGTGCTCATGGATTGGAAGAATAAATATTGTCAAAATGTCAATACTACCCAAAGCAAACTACACATTCGATGCAATGTCAATCAAAATTGCACCAGCATTCTTCTCAAAGCTAGAACAAGCAATCCTAAAATTTGTATGGAACCCCAAAAGACCCCAAATAGCCAAAGTAATTTTGAAGAAGAAGACCTAAGCAGGAGGCATCACAATCCGAGACTTTAGCCTCTACTACAAAGCTGTCATCATCAAGACAGCATGGTATTGGCACAAAAACAGACACATAGACCAATGGAATAGAATAGAGACTCCAGAATTGGACCCACAAATGTATGGTCAGCTAATCTTTGACAAAGCAGGAAAGAATATCCAATGGAAAAAAGACAGTCTCTTTAACAAATGGTGCTGGGAGAACTGGACAGAAACATGCAGAAGAATGAAACCAGACAACTTTCTTATACCATTCACAAAAATAAACTCAAAATGGATGAAGGACCTGAATGTGAGGCAGGAAACAATCAAAACTCTAGAGGAAAAAGCAAGAAAAAACCTCTCTGACCTCAGCTGTAGCAATTTCTTACTTGACACATCCCCAAAGGCAAGGGAATTAAAAGCAAAAATGAACTACTGGGACCTCATGAAGATAAAAAGCTTCTGTACTGCAAAGAAAACAATCAACAAAACTAAAAGGCAAACAATGGAATGGGAAAAGATATTTGCAAATGACCTATCAGACAAAGGGCTAGCATCCAAAATTTATAAACAACTCACCAAACTCCACCCCTGAAAAAAAAATAATCCAGTGAAGAAATGGACAGAAGACATGAATAGACACTTTTCTAAAGAAGACATCCAGATGGCCAACAGGCACATGAAAAGATGCTCAACGTCACTCCTCATCAGAGAAATACAAGTCAAAACCACACTGAGATACCATCTCATGCTGGTCAGAGTGGTTAAAATGAATAAATCAGGATACTATAAATGCTGGAGAGGATAGGGAGAAACGGGAACACTCTTGCACTGTTGGTGGGAATGCAAACTGGTGCAGCCGCTCTGGAAAACAGGGTGGAGGTTCCTCAAAAAATTAAAAATAGATGTACCCTATGACCCAGCAATAGCACTGCTAGGAATTTACCCAAGGGATACAGGAGTGCTGATGCATAGGGGCACTTGTATCCCAATGTTTATAGCAGCACTTTCAACAATAGCCAAATTATGGAAAGAGCCTAAATGTCCATCAACGGATGAATGGATAAAGAAGATGTGGTTTGTATATACAATGGAATACTACTTGGCAATGAGAACGAATGAATTGTGGCCATTTGTAGCAACATGGATGGAACTGGAGAGTGTTACGCTAAAAGAAATAAGTCAGGCAGAGAAAGGCAGATATCTTATGTTTTCACTCATATGTGGATCCTGAAAAACTCAAGAGAAGACTGGGGAGGGAAGGGAAGGGGGGGAAAAATTACAGACAGAGAAGGAGGCAAACCATAAGAGACTGTTAAATACTGAGAACAAACTGAGGGTTGGGGAGGATGGGAAAGTGGGGTGATGGGCAGTGAGGAGGGCACCTATTGGGATGAGCACTGGGAGTTGTATGGAAACCAATTTGACAATAAATTTCATATTAAAAAAACACTTTGTTCAAAAACAAAATTTATAAGGTTATTCTAATAATCTTAATAAGAGTTCCATGTGGAATGAAATACAAATAAAAAACAACACAGAGGGTTGCCTGGTTGACTCTTGATTTCAACTCAGGTCATGATCTCATGGTTGTGAGATCAAACTCTGTGTCTGGGCTCTGTGCTCGGTATGGAGCGCCATCCCCCCCCCCACCCCTTTTTTTTTTTTTTTTACTTAATTTTATTTTTTAATTTACATCCAAGTTAGTTAGCATATAGTCCAAAAATGATTTCAGGAGTAGATTCCTTAATGCCTCTTACCCATTTAGCCCAACCATCCTCCCAAAACCCCTCTAGTAACCCTCTATTTGTTGTCTCGGTATGGAGCCTTTTTAAGATTCTCTCTCCTTCTCTCTGCCCCTCCCTTGCTCATGTGTGCTTGTTTTCTCTCTCTCAAAAAACAAACATAAACAACCCAAAACACAAAAAACCCAGAGATTATACAACACTCACCTTGGAAATACTGTCCATATCTCCTGACCCTGAAACAAAATATGAAAAGAAAATGTTTATTAGATAATAATTTCATATACAAATTAAGTATTCCTTTAATATAAATAAATGCAGTACACTCTTTGTATTTTCCAGTACGTATCTCCTTAATTTTTTAATCTTAAAAAATTATTTACTCAGAGTGCCTGGGTGACTCAGTTGGTTAAGCATCCTACTCTTGGTTTTGGCTCAGGTCATGATCTTATGGTTTCTGAGTTTGAGCCCTGAATCAGGCTCCATGCTGACAGTGCAGAACTTGCTTAGGATTCTCTCTCTCTCTCCCTCTCTCTCTCTGCCCCTCCCCTGCTCAGGGTCTCTATCTCAAAATAAATAAATAAACTTAAGAAAATTCGTTTTCTCTTATACTGTCTGGTGAGTAAGTATCATCGATGGCAATGCAAGGATGAGCTGTACCTCTCGCTCTGAACCATCTTTTTTGTTTATTTTTGTAATGGTAGAATTAAAAAAGTATCATTATCATAAATTCCTGAAAATGAAATGTAAGAGAGATCACTTATAAATCGTAGTCAATTCAAATTTTTAAAATGTATGCATGTATGTATATGTATATATAGACAGCGAGAGATAAATATATTTTCTGAAATGATGCTTCTAAATCTGACAAAATATAAGATGGACATCTGCAATATTTAAAAATATTATGAGCCATATTTTACTATAATAACCAAAGTGAAGAATTTTTAATAACATTAAAAAATTGACAGCAATCAATATTCATGGCAATCCATCAAAAGTAAGAATGTCTTTATAATACTGTAATTTTAAGTAGATTCCTGGGAGAAATGAAAAATCAGTACTAATTTCTTACTTAAGAAGTGGAATCATATATTAGGTAACAAGGAACAATAATCAGATCTTTGCCACATGTTAGCTTTATTTTTAACCATTTTAACAATTTTTTGGCATAAACATATTCTACTATTTTAATAGTAAAACATTCAGTTATAGTCACAAATAAAGTTAGTGCTTATAAACATACATAGTACATTGATACATATTTAATGCACATATGTAATTATGTAGATATAAATATATGTAATAATGTTTATTATAAAAAGTAATAAGCCACATGCCAAGCATATGTGAAACTCTTCCTCAAATTCTATTCTAGTGAATAACTGAAAATTTTCTATGACCAAATGTCATATTTTTAAAAATAATTTTACAAATTAAAAGATTGGAAACTGAGTTATGTTGCAATACATTAAAAAATAAAATTCTAGAACAGTGCTGACAGGTAGAGCTTTGTGTGATGATGCAGATGTTTCTCTATTCTATGTTTCATTATGGTAGCCATTAGCTACACATGGCCATGTACATTTGATAGGAGGCAGTGCAGCTGAGGAAGTAAACTTTACATTTTATTTAATTTTGACTTAAAATTAAATAGTCACACATGGCTAGTCACTACCATAATTGAACAGTGCAAATTAAGGCTTTGATATCTAGGCAACATATGTACGTATATAAAACAAGTATGGACCTTAAAAGCTCAAAAGTCTAGCAACAGGTTGCAAATAGTTTCTTGATTATTGAAGTTACAGAGCTTTTCAAAGTATTAGAGGCTGGTGTTTGGGCGGAGTCGTGGAATCTGTGTACAACCTAAGTTACTCATGGGCATAGTTATTCCAATTTAAGTAAAAGATGGTTCTTTTTCAAAAGAAAAAAAAGATCATAAGTGTCTATCCCCATTGTCAACTTCTAGCTTATGTTACTGTTACTTAAAACACATATAAACATAAAATAAGTGTAGTTGTTGTTTTATGGGTTTTGTTTTGGATTTGCATTTGGCCTGCCTATATGTACAGTGCACTGTGTGATCTAATCGGTTTTGTGCCACTCATCTCTATTTCTCACTGTTGTGAAACTCTTTGTTCTCCGTGAAGACACTGGGCTTCATTTGGTAAGAAGGCATCATTTATGAGGTATGTTTTCAACTATTAGTCATAGTACTTGAAATCTGCTTTGCCACGAGTATGTGGCACTGCTCTCTTTTAAGAAAATCATCCAGATAATCCAGAATATAATTAAATTTTATTTTTAAAAGAGACAAACATTAAAATACAGAAACAAAGTCAAGAAATTCTTGCAGAGAACATAAGCTCCTCTGAGACTGCATCTATAGACCTTCGTAGACAAACCAGCTCAGAAGATACTGTAGCTCTCCAGGTGAGGGATATGTAATATGTGCTCAGAGCAGCAATATCTCCTTTTATCATAAAACACTCAGATTTTGATAGGTGAAAGTAAATACCTGTGAATAAGAGCTAGGTTAGAACAATCCTCACATTTCTGATTTTCAAATGATCTCCAGTTATCATAACCAATATTCTGTAAAGTCTCAGTCTGAAGTGAAAGTTGAAGCATTTTAAAATAAATTCAAAGTAAATAAAGGTATACAAAAGCAATTTGCAAACTGTAATATCCACTCTGTAGAATAAAAGTTTTGTTTTGATTTCTAAACATCAAATTGCATATCCTTACCTAAAGAGCCATTCATGTGATGTGACTCCATTCCTCCTAATCCACCCATGGGACCATCTGACCCAGGGCCCATTGGAAACTTTAAAAAATGAAGAGAATTTCTATGATCACACTGAAAACAAGTATTTATCTAATGTTACAATATCTATCTTTAACATTGTAAGACACTTCCACAAATTATTTTCATATCCAAATAATGGAGGTTATTTTCCTAGATTTTTTTCAGCCTTACAGATTCTGAAACTGACTGCCCTACTTTCCTCATACCATCTGCTTTATATTCTGGATCTTCAGGTTAATCCTCATTTATATCCATATTTTCTTCAGATATTCTCAACTAGAAAGCACATACATTCCAGTGCAAATTAGAGGATAAACATTCTCTTCTCTGCTATTGACAGATCTTGCTATATAAGCCAGAGATGATTCCTAGGAAGCTGCTAAAAGTATTGACTTATTAATAAGAATAATTCAACATTATTATGCCAACATTAAGATTTTTCTTAGCAGCCAATCTATCTTTGTTCAAATGGACATAATAAATAATTCCATCTTGTAGTTTAAATACATTTAGCTCCTTGGGGACAGCTCAATATAGTTAATTCTTGGCAGTCTCAACTATGTCAGTTCAATGACAATTGGACGTTCTACAGCAGTTATATTTAACATTTTTTAAAGTAGTGGGATTATTTTATTTTAAGTTGGAAGCCCAGTACAAAACAGATGTGAACTGATATACGATGGTGGAGCAGGTGGTGGAGAAGCCATGGCCTACCCACTCAGTCTTTTCCTTATCTCCCTGGAATATTCCTGAGGAAATCTAGAGCCCAGTTTGAAGACAAGTTATCTATAATTATCTTATGTTTACAGTTAAAATAGCCTACTGAAAACCACTTGTTCTTAAAATGTCTGATGCCAAAAGCATTTCTTCCATGTTGTATGGTACAGAATACTGAATGTGGTGTGTGTGTATTTACGTGTGTAGATGGGGTGGTGATGCTTACTAATCAAATAGGCTTTTGGGAGAAAAACAATTGCCCTCAACAGACAACCAGTAACTGTATATAATATATATATGATTGTTTGGAAATAAGATGGCTTTCTATCACTGGGATCATACAGCCACATGCTTATACATTTTCCCAGGATAATATCATTTCTGTTGCCTAAAGTTTTGTAGCCTTAAAGCATACAGATTGATTTATATATATTCTACTTGGTTTATAAATATTTTATAGATTCTCTCTATATAGATTCTATATATAGATTCTATATATTCTAAGTTGTTTACTTAGAATTAATTTTAGAAATTTAATTTATAAATCAATTAAAGAAATATTAACTTTTTAAGCTATCATTTGAGGTAGCTTAAGAATGATAGCTTAAAGAAATTAACTTTGAACTTACTGTTTTATTCAGCCTTTGTCAAAAGCATAGTATAGATCTGGGCTGAAAAACTAGTGCTGGTAAGGCCAACACCCTCTGAACTTACTTGGTTCGGTCCCTTCATCTGGCCCCCACAGTGTTTTAAAAGACACAAAGACTATTGGTATGTATGCTTGAAGCACAAAAAACTGCAGTCCTAGCCCTCAGCAGGCATTTGCTTTTACTACCTCTGGCTGAGATGAATGGCATTTGAAAAAGTGACACGATCAGCTTCTACTTTTCTTGGATCTCTTATCTTTGTATTGAGTTAGAGAACCAGAATGGAACATACTTGGATGGTATCAGCTTAGCTGCCCACAGAAATGTCTTCAGTGCCATATGCTCTGGGTTTCCTCTCGCACTCCCTCCATTTTAAATATCAAGTTCTAAGCTATGAAACTGCACTATGAAGAGCTTTTCTATATTGTTGCTAAATTTCTAAAATGAACATTGTTCATTATCATATTCAATGTTCATTAAGATCACTGTGGAAACACCCTTTAGACATTACTGATAGGAAACTGTTTCTTTTCTCCTGAAAACCAATTTATTTGTTGTTGTTTATTTGATTATATAAAGAGGATAGTGATAACTGAAGGCAGTACTGCTTAAGGGAAATAATATACGAGCTACAACACAAACTTACATAAGTAAACTTATATTTACTAGCAGCCATGTTTAAATAGTAAAAAGAAACGGGTCAAGTTAATTTTAATAATATATTTCATTTATCCTACATATCAAAATTATTTCAGCATATATTCAGTATAAATATTTTAATAAAATCTTTTACATTATTTTTTTCATATTAACTCCTCAAAGTCTAGTGTATATTTTATACATCACATTTCAATTTGGACTGGCCATATTTCAAGTATCATATTATACTGGATGGATTTCAGGTTTCCCTTTAAAGTCTTTACTGCTAAGAAGCTCAATTATAATAATTATTTCATTCCTGTTTTTTGGTATACTTATGGAAATTCCTTTATGTCTTCTGATTTTTATTTAAACTAAGCAGCCTTATATTCATACATGTCTGTGTATTAACTATACCTTGTTATAAATATTTTTGTTAATATGTAGGTCTTATAGATAAATAATTTTCTGTAAGCTTTCATGGAAAAAGAACAACCAGATGCATTATTAAGAACACCCAAATTCTTTATGTAGAACTGCTGCATTTCCATATTTAAACTCCAGATTTCAAAAATCTAAAGAAAAACAAGCAAATCCAACTTCCTGATTTATTTCAAGTTTATCAGGATAAAAGAAATAAACAATCACAATGAAAAATTTAGTGATGCTAAAAATGAGGCGAATGTCAATGATTACACATTAACTGTCATTTCAAATAGTGTTAATTATTAACTATTTGAGATTTTAGATAACACCACACACCAACATTTTATAATTGATTAGGTTCAGTTTTACATTTAAGTTATAATGATGTGCAATCTTTTGTTATACATTTTTGTATTTTATATTTTTTGTCAATCCAGAACATAGAAGGGATTTGATTATTTTTGGATATCTAGTAAGTTTCTGGATAGTAAAAGAGAAAGCTTAAATAGTATCTAGGAATATTCATTACACTTAGAGTTTGAGCCTTGAAATACATTCCAAAATTAAAAAAAAAAAAAATTCATATTTACATTGGGCCTGTTAGGTCCAGGAGGTACTGCATTCATTAAAGTATACATGTTGTCTCCAGAGTTGGTTGAATCTGAAACAAAACATTACCTAATTAATATCTTTCTTTACAATTTACACCCAAGTCATCACAAAGTAATAATCAGAGATGATCTGCACACACATACATATTAATAGCTGCAGCACTTAAAGTAGTCATTACTAATGTTCAGAAACAAATACTTGTAAGTCATTTTCCAACTCAGAAATTACCATTCTGAGGTTGTAAATGAGAATATTTACCTAATATATAAGGGGTAATCACTTGAATAATTCTGGTCAAAAGGAACAATACTTTAAGAATCTCAAATATTACAGTAAAGTTTTTCTTTTCTAAAAAACATGGATACTTTTTGACTTCATTAAGCAATGTGTATAACAAAAATCTCCAAAAATTCAAATTCAGTAGCTTTTCAGTTTTCATTGTTTCCTTAGGCTTCTTATATACTAATTTAAAACAGTTTATTTATCTAATAATTATTAATAGCTGGTGGGATATCATGGCTTAATTCCAACATAAAGAGAGTATACAATTAGAATGAAAAATTCTCTTGCTTGAAGTAAAAGTCAGCTTCTTCCAGTACAGCTTTTGATGAAATTTTTTTATTCATTTTATTCTTGATTCATTATAGTAAAAATAACTGTAGTGTATATCCATATAAAATAAGTACCACTTTATAATATTAAAAAATTTACATTTCATGTCTATTAGCTAATTCTAATAAAGTCTCTGAGTACATATGTTTTTATAATGTATTATCTATAGTAAAAGGCCATATATTTTACATTTAGGAAATATGTTTTTCTATTTTCCCACAATTACACAATTTTCTTAAATATAATGTATCAGGCCTCTCCATTCTGAAAAAAAAAAAGTGTTTCAAATCTACATTAATATATCCTACTGCTGAAAAAGCAGACATGCCCACTTCAGATGGATCTCTATTTGTTTATACTAAGTAAGGTCCCGATCTACTTTTGTGGCCTTAATTATTTATTTTACATCCTTATGTACATTATATTCCTGTCAACTCAGGCTGCTTGTTCTTTCCTGTGTATGATCAACCGTTTATATCTCCATATTTTTGTTCTTAATTCCTCCAAGTATCTTCTCCCCAGTGTCCATCTACTGAAATTCTGCTCACTACCCCAGGCCCACTGCAAATGTTACCTCTTTCATGAGATTTTGTTTTCTGAAACTTCTGAATTCATGCATGCCCCCTCATCATTGAATTCTGCTTTGCATTCTAGTTAACATTTTGTCTTGTTCTTGTCTTTGTTATAGTGAGTTCATTGAGAGAAGGAAAGAGATCATGTCTTATACTATGTGCCACAGACAATAAATATCTGCTGAGATTTAACTAATGGAATACACTCTATCCCATAAAAATGTATCTTTCAGAAAATCAGTCATTACTAATGACTAAACACAGGAGATCTTCAAATGGTTTTTCATCTTTATTAGCCTAATTTTACTTAACTAATTTTAATAATTAACTTGGAAGGAAAATAGGCTGTATATTTTAAATATATAGAAAGAAAAATAAATTTGTTGTTTTTAATACCAATCAAAAACATACTTTCATCTATAGAAACACCAAGAGAAGTAAGGTTGGTATTTTCTAGACTTCTTTTTATATACAGAAAAACTTTACAATAAAGTAGACCTTATGGAACCTGTTTTTGGCGGGGAGAGCATTGGCTTCAAATTAGGAATGACTATACAAAAGATGAGCCCACAGGAGTATGCACAAGGCTAGGAAGACATACTGGTGGCAATTTGTTGGCTTGGAAGGATGGAGAGTAATCAGATTACTTATCACCTGAAAAGTTTAGTGGTTTCTCCAAAAAATTTCATTTATATTGTGGTGAAGTGTTTATTAATCACATGCTACCTTCATAAATTAAACATTAACTTCACATATAAGAATGCAAATGTGCGCAAGATGTTCAATTCGCCTAATTCTATCTTGAATGAATTGTTTCACTTCAATGAAGATGCTCTGAGGACAGAGATCCATGAAATATTTATGCTATATTCCAAATCAGTAGTGAAGCAAAGCAAAATTTTGTGTTAATTATCAGATTGATGCTTTTTCAAAATTAAGAAGATTCAAAAATTAAAAATTATTATTTATTGATATGATCAATGATAGTTAAGTTCAAGCTTCCACACATCTTAGATTTCAACAAACCAGCTAAGAACATATGAATTTAATATTGTAACATAATTCAGTATTTTTTTATTATAAAAATCTCCCATCTCTTTCATTACCCAGAGGTTAACACTGATAAAGCCTTAGAGCCTATTTCTTTGTCTTTCTACATTTTTGTATTAAATATATTTTACAATAAAATTGTAATCATATTATATTGAATCATGAACATTTATTCTCCATGTCATTAACAATTCTTTGATAATAATTTTAATGGCTACATTATATTCCTAAAAATTAATTTATTACTTTTGCTAAAATTGTATTAGGTTTGTGCCTACTATTTCACTATTAACTATAAAAAAATGAGCACCCTCTACATTAATCTCGGGTTGTATCTCTAATTATTCTCATAGCAGGATGATAGAAAAAAGTGAATATGAACTTTTTCATGGCTCTTGATACATGTTGCCAGAGCAGTTTCTAGGAGGGGTGTACCAATGTAAACTTCCACCATTACAGTCCTCAAGAAGCAACACATTTAATAGTCTATATTAAAGTCTTGAAAAGAAAGGATAAAGCTATTTAAAATCATTATATTCAATGATCACAGAAATACTGAGGCATTTTAGTTTAAAAATATTAAAAGAAAAAAATCTTCCTCCAGTGCACAGTGAATTTATTAGCTAATAAGTACATATGGACATGTAAGCATATTGATATCTATTGATATCTTAGTGAGATAATAGATATGGTGGGTCTGATTAAAGCTAATCCATTGGCTTTACACGGATCCATCCATGTATTTCATGTGTTATGCAGAATTTTTCTAAGTTGTGAGATTTGGATTCTTTTTCAGAGTCTCAAAGAATCTTTGTGTCAGATAAATTATTGGGCAATTCATGTAGATCAACACCATTTGCAATCTGATTATATCTATTACTCACACGACAGGAATTTTCTACAGACTTAAAGTAACTGGACAACAGTTATTTTTAAGAACACTACTTCTTCCTACTTGCTACCTCTAGTCTACTTCCTGTTACCATCAATGAGATAATGAATACTACTGACTCTCTATCATAACAATTTCTATATTTTGTGGTTTTATTCTAATAATCAAATGCCCGTGTGGTTGGTGTGATTACAATACCTGCTGGACTAGGCATGATGGGTGTTCCTGGTGGCCCTCCACCTCCTGGAGGACCCTAAATAATTATACAAAATTTCAGTAAAAATAAGGCATTTCATAAACAATGTAAGGAAAAACAGAAGAAAAGTTAGGCTTATCTATAATAGTCCAATTTGAAAATAACAGAGGAATTTTCTCCATAATTTATTTTCTTTGAATGCACAATCATTTCACTATTATGCAAGATATGATTTAGCTTAAATATGTTAAGATTGTTTTAATAAGTTTCCAAAAACAATGAGCCTGTAACACTGATGTATTATTCAGGACTTAATCATATTAGGTATAATGAGGTTAAGGAGAAACCATTTATTGGGGCCTTTACAAATCCCTAAAACAGAATCATTCATGTGTATCTGTGACTATAATTTTCTTATATTTTGTATCATCATTTTTTATAGGAAACTAAAAACTCAAAGATATTCATATGCTTAAAAAATACATTGATGCTATTTCTTTTTCTATTGGTATCAACTGTAACACTTCCAGAGCATGGAACCTTCTGCTATCATATCAATTAGAAATGAGGGGCAACATTGACTAATGCTGTGGGTTACTAATCAACTGGAAATGGAAATTAGGTGATTCTAAGGTTAACTCAGTTATTTCAGACAACCAATTCAGGTAAAGGGTTTTAGAATTTGTTAGCTCTAAAGTAATCTGTATAAATTACTAAGTGGATAAATTTGTATTTCATTCTGAAGGTGTAGACATAGCGCACTAATTATTTCAGATTTTATATATATATATATATATATATATATATATATTTGCTATTTAATAAGCAACTTAAATTTTCTTTCAGATAAAATTCTATAATTTCATAAAACTATGTATTACGCTTATTCTTCAGTGATTTGAGAAAAAAATAGGTTTTACCCACATTTACTTTCATTTTTGTTTCATAGAGAATGTGAAAAATGTTAGGCCTCTTAGTTTGTATAGCTTAAGAGAACATTGAGCACTAAGTTCACAGGTCCAAAACAGCATGTACTTTTTACTATGTTCATAAAACACTATTTCTACGGAGAGTAAAATGCTCATTGATCTTCTTAAGCACTCCTTTTTTCCTACCCCAGTTAGCCACCACCTCTGAAAATTTCTTTAGGAAAGATTTTCCTTTTTACCATTTTATCTTTGCTCTTCTGTTAGGCGTTTACTCCTAAATATTATAACAATTTATCTTCCATGGTGGCCTTGAGATGTAGCAAGGATTATAATGTTATGAGGGTTAAAAGGTCATTTGTAAGTTCAAGAGCTCATGTAAAACCTACTAATTTGACTTTAGGTGTAAATGAATTATTGGAAAATTTTAACATGTGCTAAATAATGATAAGAAGAAAAATAAGTGCTTTCAATATCAAAGTATAAAAAAGCCCCCGGCCCCCAAATGACTAGTCATTATTCTGCGATATGATTCCCTTTGTGATCAGGAAACAGTTTAATGTCTTCCTAAACTTTGTGTGTGGTGAGTGGTATGAGGGAGGGGGTGTACCTCATTCTCCTGGAGAACTGCAAATTCAAGCTTGGCATTGTGTAACTGGGTATGGCTTTCTTCATGATTGGACAGAGTGTATTGTATTGGTTTACAGAAACATATGCTAAAGTAAAACACAGTACTCAGGGCAATTTTGGCCAGATTGATAACTGTCTCACTAATGAACATCAACATATGTACTGAGGTTGGCAGACGAAAAACTCAATACATATCAGATGTTCACTTCTTGGCCAATACACAGGGGCTCTTCTTAACATCTGGACAACTATTTCATTGCCCAAATAAAACATAACATCAATTCTTATGAGCAAACAATCCCAAATGTACTTACTACATAATTCCCAGGAGATGCTGAGGAGTATGGTATCTGGAACACGAATAGGACAAAGAAATATATATTTTGATTCATGTGACAATACGGAAACTTACCTACAATGAATCTATATTCTGACTTTTATCAAGTTTTAAAATGTATCACAAAGGATGATAAAGAATAAAGCCGTTTATATCTGTCTAAGTGCTGGAAAATGAATAAATGCAACATTATCTTGAATTTATAAAAAAGAGTGGATTTAGGTCAAGAGAAATTTAGATTTCTAGCTTTAAGTTATACTGATTTTAGAGCAGTTATACTCACTGCTTGATACTAATGACACTTATTCTGTAATTAGAAAGATATATATTTGTGCAGTGAAAAACCAGAAACCAGAGTTTTTCAAATTAATAGCTTTTACAGATACAACTTCCAATTTATGTGCATTCTGGGATGCATTATTATTATTTTTAAGATGGGTTTCAGGCTACTACATTCATGTGGTACAGGTCAGTACTTGATCTATAGACCTCATGTTTCCCCCCTTTCCTTTCTAATTAGCTATTAGAAACTAATATAACAAATGCAAAACGTTTTCGTTAATGTAAGTCTCCAAAGACTACTAACTTGTAGGGATCAGATATGGATAACAAATTCTCTCCTTCCCTTCAAATCAAGCTCTTAACCAAACTCTTTTCTAGAGATTACATAGTATTAATACAACATTGCTATTATAATTTTAAAAATGAGAAGTAAAAACAGATATTTAAAAACTCAACACTTGAGTGTTGATATTAATAAAGAAAGCTAAATCCGAATATTTTATTTTTTTTTTCAAAGAAGCTCATTAGCTCACTTGCATGAAGAATCTGCACATCCAGAGGAGATATTTTTGTCTTGTTCTAGAAAAAGCCATAAACTACTATCTTCTTGCAGGTACATAGCCAGATTAGGACCATTACAGTAGTGAAAAGATGATAGTTCCTTTACCCTAAACCCTCCTTCTAGCCCAACGCCTTCCATATAATTAAACATAAAAATAATATGAAACTATACAGTAAGAAGGAAGTATAACAAAGTTATGATTTTCCTCTAAGTTATTTGAAAATTGTCTCCTTGTTGTTTGGTGTCCACGCTTTGCCTTAAGCACAGACCACATGCCTCTGCGGCCCCTGCTTGGTCTGCCTATGGCTAATTCATCCCTGCAGAGGGTCCTTACCAGGCTGCCCAGTATCACTAATGATGGGGATTACTTCCACTATGAGCAGTGAGATCTGATGGCCAGTACACACTAAACTCGGTGCTAGAAATCAACTTTGCTCTCTTGGGCCGCTGTTAGTGCATGATCCACCATCCATCTTCTGATTCTTATTATTTTAAACATATGCATTTACTCTCTCCAAATCACTACCTTATCTGTTGGCTCCAATTTTCATCTCCTTATAACTTTAGCATCATGCTCATGTTCTTCTGCCTCTCTCTACTGTCTACCATCATTCTTTACCAACTTTAACATATGAGCTAACCACCCTTTAAATCTTTGGAATTTATACTTTATTGCCTTCCTTCATTTCACAATATACTTCCTTCTCCTCCATTTGTGAGTATGAGCACAACCCAGAACTCTTTACACAGAGATCTAAACAACTCCTTTGCCTGACAATCTTTCTTATTCCTCATGACACTCACAAATATATTATTCTATATTCCAACAAGAATCTTCTTCCATTACAATTCCTCCATGTTTTCCCTATTATTTCTGTATTTATTTCCTGTAAGTCCATTATTTCCTTATTAGTTTCCTGCTAAATTGTCTCTGCCACTCCCCCATGCCACTGTCAGCATTTTGTTTCTCTTTCCAATATTTTAAATTCATTATCTCAAAGCCTACTTAGTTTCCATCTCTTTGATCATCCCCTAGCCACCTTTTCTATTTCACAGTAGAGATTTACCAGAGAGAAACACAAAATAAGGGACAAGGTCCAAAATATAATCATGTTCTCCAATTTCTACTTAGTCTTCACTAATAACTGGAAGCATTTTGGCTCAGCCTTCATGGAAGCCCAGAAGCATTCTGTGGTGTGCCAATAAACCGAACAAATTCAGGGGAGAAAAAGGTCCCAATCTGTAGCATTTATCAATTTATGTGGTATGAATATTCCCACATGAAATATTTCAAGCTACCAATGATTCTTTTTTTAATTTTTATTTATTAATTTTAAAAATTTATTTATTGTTTAATTTATATCCAAGTTAGTTAGCACATGGTGCAACAATGATTTCAGGAGTAGATTCCTTAATGCCCCTTACCCATTTAGACCACCCCCTTCCCACAACCCCTCCAGTAACCCTCTGTTTGTTCTCTCTATTTAAGAGGCTCTTATGTTTTATCCCCCTCCCTGTTTTTACATTATATTTGCTTCCCTTCTCTTATGTTCATCTGTTTTTTATCTTAAATTCCTCATGTAAGTGAAGTCATATATTTGTCTTTCTCTAATTTTGCTTAGTGTAACTTAGAATAAGTTCCATCCACGTAGTTGCAAATGGCAAGATTTCATTGAATATATATACCACTTCTTCTTATCCATTCACCCGTCGATGGACATTTGGGCTCTTTCCATACTTTGGCTATTGTCGATAGCATTGCTATAAACACTGGGGTGCATGTGCCCCTTCAAAACAGCATACCTGTATCCCTTGGATAAATACCTAGTAGTGCAATTGCTGGGTCATAGAGTAGTTCTATTTTTAATTTTTTGAGGAACCTCCATACTGTTTTCCAGAGTAGCTGCACTGGTTTGCATTCCCACCAGCAGTGCAAAAGAGATCCTCTCTCTCTGCATCCTCGCCAACATCTCTCGTTGCTTGAGTTGTTAATGATAGCCATTCTGATAGGTGTGAGATGGTTATCTCATTGTGGTTTTGATTTGTATTTCCCTGATAATGAGTGATGTTGAGCATTTTTTCATGTGTCTGCTCGCCATCTGGATGTCTTCTTTGGAGAAGTGTCTATTCATGTCTTTTGCCAATTTCTTCCCTGGATTATTTGTAAGCTACCAATGATTTAACAATTAACTCAAAAAATTCCTGAATACTTAACAAGTGACTTTCATGAGCTGGTTGTCATGGTGATTATAACATGGTGAGTTGGTAGTCTGCCCTTGTGTCATATGTTAAAGCTATCAAATTCTTACTATACCTTCATCTTCAACTCAACACTCCAAATAGATTGAAATTTTCATCCATTCGTCCACGTAGAAAAAAAGATAATCTTTCTATTTGCTTCCAAAGCTAGCCCCATCTCATCCTCCTAACACCTTGCTCCTTTTATAGTTTTAAATTTCTCCTTCATGGTTCCTTCAAACACAGTTAAACACAGTTTTTAAACATTTAAAAATACTTTAAAAAATTGTTACTTCATGTAGTTCAATTTTTTTCCATGTTTGTCCTGACAAAATCTTTAATTTTGACTTATAGTCACTATTTCTACTTCATATTTTTTGATGCCCTCATTAAAAGAAAAAGATCATTTGGACTGCTACTCCTGGTAGCACTTTACTGAACACACACTCTTGAAAGTTACTAGTAGCATCTGACAGTCTAGTGTGAGTGACATAAAATATAACAATATAGGTAGAAGAACTATGTGGGTACAGAAGACATATTTGAGCTGGATAGATGACTTATAGAGAACAGATTATCACCAGAAAGACAAAGAGAAGGATCGAAAGAAGGAAGGAAGGAAGGAAGGAAGGAAGGAAGGAAGGAAGGAAGGAAAGAAAGAAAGAAAGAAAGAAAGAAAGAAAGAAAGAAGTAAACACAAAATATAAAAGTACATAGATTATTAGGGAAATGGCATATAATTTTACCCAGCTGCTATAATGTGGTACTTACAGGAAACTGAAATAAATGATAAGCATATATGGTCAGACTGTTGAATTTATACTGTAGGAAACAGGAAGTCACAGGTTTTAGAGAGACATATTCCAATTTATATTTTAGTAAGATAACCCTAGAGGTATCACAGAATACAAATACAAGTTAAGAGTCTATTGCAAAAGGTCTAGGCAAGAGATGATAGAGTGTTCTAGGAAGCACTGATTAAGATAAGTAGGAGTAAGAAAGTTTGAAAGACTTCACAAATGTACTTGGCAGAGCACAGTGACGAACTAGGTGAGGTAGACAAGGGAAGGCAAAAGTTAAGGTAATACCTAGGTTTCCAACTTGGTGAGTGGGTGAATGATGGTGCCACTAATTCATGTGTAGAGAATTCAGGAAGGGGGGCAAGTTTGGGGAAATATCTGACATGTTGAATTTTAAAGCACTAGTGCACAGTGAAGTAGACCGATCAACAGATTTTTAGAAATACAGATCAAGAATTTACTAGAGATTAGAACTAGAGATAAAGCTTCAATTGAATACATTTCCATTCTGTGCTGGACATAACAGTTGATCTAGGATTCTATTATATTTAGTGATAGATTTAATATTCCAAAAACAAAGCTCACCATCTACCGTCTAAACTTCCTTCTCTTGTATTTCTAGCTGAGTTTGTGTTTTCCCATTCTCCCTGATACCTGAATTCAAAGACTTGAAATCACCTTCAGCTTTTTCTCTTTATTCCCAAATTCAAGGTCATCAGGTGTTTTTTATTCTATGTGTGAAATGCATCCTCATTATTCCTTTGATCACCACTCTACCTCAGGGTCTGATAACATTTTATAAAGGCCATTACTATTATCTCCTAACTTCATTTCCCTATTTTTCATCCATTTTATAAACTATCTTCCTAAAACATAGCTCCCTCCCATATAGGTGATAAATTTCAGATTTCTCCATTCCAAAGCCCTGTACACACCAGGGCTCCCTTTTTTGCCTTTCAGTTTTGTCACCTTCTATGCCTTCCCAAACAATCTTTCTCCCTATCAGCTAACAGTCTAATAATTTTTCCTCAAACATTTTTGGTATTTCCTCTGTTAGTTTTCCACAAAATTTTCTCTACCTCTAGTGTCCAAATTCTTCCAATCTAATTAATCACCTCCTTCCCCTGGATA